CCCGCACCCATCCGCGCGCCCTTGGCCCCACGCTCGCTTGCCGCGGCGGTCTCTGTCCCGCGCCTGCGCACGGCCTCGCCGCGTCTAGCCTCGCTCGCCACCCGCGCTGTCGCGCCTACCCCGGTAGCCACCACCGCTTCCACCTCCACTCGCCACCACCACCAATTCCGGTTGCCCCTTGAGGAGCCGTTACTACTACTCGACTCGCCGCGTCGCACGCTATCGAACGGGCCCGAGAACGCCCCGAACCAGTGGTCATAGCAGATTCCGGCAAGGTAGCTGGCGCCTCTTCAGCACCGTCTGCTAACCTGGCCGCCACATGGCCCTCCCGGTGTCGCTGCCATCGGGACACACGGGCCTTGTTGACCAGTCAACGGCTGCCATCGGAACCTATGTTTGGAATTGATGGAATATTTAGTTTGGCGAGGCAGGGAGATGATGAAGTGTTTTTTTACAATCTGATGATTTGGGGGGCCTTACTCGATGTGATTCCGTGTGATCCGCTAAGAAACCCATATTTATGTGAAAAAAATTCCGCGTCGGTAGTTGTATGTACTATATCGGCGATACAATATCACACTGCAATGGTTTTTTTCTAGGTGGTGGGAGGGTGCGTGGGGTTCATATATTTTTATAGGATACCTCAATATAATTGAAGACCTTCAAAATTAGGGAACAATAGTGAATTGAAGTAATTGGATGGGAGAGCTCCTTGAGAAATTGTTGATCCAGTGAAAATTGAGTGACTCAATTTTCAAATTGAAGACCTTAATTAATTGTGAGATCTTAAAAATTAGGAAGCATAATGTATCGTATAAAACAATTAACGAGAAAGCATTGAAAAATTGTTGACCCGGTCAAAATCAAGTGACCCAATTTTAATTGAACACCTCAATTAGCTGCGAGGTCTTTAAAATTAAAGAGTTTAGTGTTATAGAGGATTCCTGAGTAAATTAACCAGAGAATCAATGAATTATTTTTCAAAAGCCTGTGACAGTGCACGGGCATTCTACTAGGGCTGGGCATATACTTCCATGACAAGAGCGTTTTTTTTTAATAGGGAATCCATGACAAGAGCCTGTCCCAGATTGCCCGGTGGGAAAAGCCCACCAGCCCTCCCTCGCATCCAGCCCATCGCGCATCCCTAAGGCCTCATTCGGTTTGGAGGATTTTCGTAGGAAAAACATAGGAATAAGGATTCCAGAGGAAAGTTTCCAATGTATGCATTCGGTTTGTAGGAAATGCGTGCAGGAATTTCGTAGGAATACTACTCATTTTCCACGTTTTTGGAGGAAACTACACATCCACTCAAAGCTCATTTTACGCGTAGGAACGAGGCAAGTCAATTCCTTAGGATGGCAAGTGCCATCCTATCATATTCCTATACTACTCATAATTCCTACGTTTTGATTTCCTCCAAACTGAATGAGCCCTAAACAGGCCGAAAGCGAAAGCCGGCAGCGCTTCGCGAATCTTAAAGCAACACCATCCAACGGCTTGGAACATGACTGAGAGAGACTCCGTAGAATTTATTTAGGGCTTCCCTTGGCTGGACATCCGCTCGCCGCCGCAAGCTCCTGAGCTACTGTCCGCACAGCCATCGAACTCCCGAGCTAGCGGAGGCGCACGAGTAGAAACGGCCGGCTTCCTCTTTTTGCTGGTAAGATCTATTGGATCTCTAACTCTAGTCGCCGGCTGGCTAGCCCCTCACCACTCTCATCTCTAATTGCAAGGCTAGGTCTTCTAAGAAGCATAAGTTTTGACAGTGATGATCCCATATGACCGCAAGTGAACAGCAACAACAATCTAGGGAAGGTTGATTTGTTGTTGCTTTAGGGACGTGGTTATGCTCTTTTGGTTCTGGGGATAGTTGACCTGTTTTTTCTCTCCTCACGTTGAAGTTCCTCTTAAGGTCCCTCATTCTCCCCCTCTTGGATTATTAGCTCTTGATTAATCATAGTTGGATGATATTTTGGTGTAGCTTTTATTGCCCACTCTTGGATTATTAGTTTTTGATCTTAGTTAGAGGATGTCCAGGCACTACCCTTTGGAACTAGAACTAGCCCAGTCCATTTGTTTTGTTTTTTTGCTTTAAGATATGTTTTATTATTAAGTTTCATAGATATAAGCATTTATCCATCAATTTTTGCTATAAAAGGCATAATGGTCCTCTCTCTATCTTTGTGTTGTAGTACTAATTATGACTTGATTCATTTTGTATTTACACTGTACTTCATGGTAGTATTATAGCCCTTTGTGCTGGAAGCTTTGCTGTAAATTTGCACCTAGTTTTTTTGTTTTTGTTGTAGGCTATGGTTATTAGTAAGGGATAATATCTATCTTTATACTATCAAGAATGACGATTATTTTATTTGTTTTTTCTAGTTTATATACTATTAAGAATGATGTTGGTCAATGTTTTCTTTGTTTCATGTCTTGGGATGTATATGACTTAACTATGAATTTTTTTTGTAAATTTTGTTCTTCAAGTTTCCTCCTTTTGACTACGATTACTAGTTTTCTTGTAATTTTCTCCTGCTAATATTTTGGTCCTACTATTTTAGTTATTTTAGTCTTAGTATTTAGTTGTGACTTCAAGGCTCCTTCTAATGTAAATTATTTATTTCTTCTTCCAACTGGTTATATATGTTATAAGTAATATAACAATTAGTTCTCCATCCATTTATTTGGTTCTGACATACCTTATTTTTGGTGGTTAATTTGTTTCTTTCTATTGTTGATGTTTGCCAGGGGACTTGCCCAAGAAAGTTGATATGGATGAATCAATTGATGTGAGTGATGCTCTTGCACATGCGTCACACCCAGACAACAACATAAGGTCAATAGGAGAAGACATGCTAAAGCGGCTCCAAAATCTTGATCTTCCCAACTTCCTCCTATATTTATCATCTGAGCTTTTGAGGGAGGGGATTCCAGAAGAGTCTAGGGCACTTGCTGCCATCACCCTTAAGAACTCCTTGGACTCAAAGGATCCTGCACTCAAGGATGCACACAAGGATCTACTTTGTATAAAATGGCTCAGCCTGGATCCCTCTATCCGATCAGAGATTAAGAATAAGTTGCTCATGACACTAGAATTTGATTCAAGGCAATCTCATTCAAGGCACCCCTCATCAAAAGTTATTGCAAAAGTTATTGCGAGAGTTGCATGCATGGAGATACCCCGGAATCAATGGCTGGACCTTGTTGGTAAATTAATGGACAACATGGCAAGTTCATCTTCTTCACTAAAGCAAGCAACTCTAGAGGTGCTCCAGTATATCTTTGAGGCGAAGATCCCTAAAGTTGTCAAGGGGGATCAAGTGGATGTTGTTATGGGTAGTGTCATCAGTGCACTGAATAACCAGATGCTAGATTCTCAAGTCCATCTCACAGCCCTTAAAGCTTTACTCAACATACTTGAGTTTACTAAGTTTGAAGACCATGCTTGGAGGAATTCTATAGTGGCAGTTTGTGAAGTGGCAGGCAGGATAAATTCTGGAGCAGAGATCAAAGAGGCAGCATTTGAGTGCCTTGTTGCAATTGCACACACTTGTCATACCATATTAGAACCTTACAAGGAGATCATGATGAGTCTTACATCCCAAGCTTTGGAAGGAGATGTGGAATCACTTAAAGTCCAATGTATTAAGTTGTGGATCACTGTTTTCCAAGAAGAGATTGATTGGGAAGAGGAAGAGGAAGAGGAGGAAGAAGAAGAAGAAAAAGAAAAAGAAGATGATGATGAAGAAGAAGAGGCATCTAGCTTTATTGGTCCTCTCTGTTCATTTGTTCCACTTCTCCTACAAACTTACTTAAACGAAGAAGAGGGAGATTTAAAACAGGAGGACATTTGGAAACAGGGAGACGAGGGAGATGGAGACATTTCCATGACGGGGGAACAAGAAGAAGAGGGAGATGAAAATGTGGAACAAGAGGGAGTAAACCTTGAAGACATTTTGGAACAAGACGAAGAGGAAGATGAGACTCTACAAGGCATTTCCATGACATGCCTAGGCCTTGCAGCTAGAATTATGAAGGGTAGAGTTGTCCCCCTTGTGATGCATTTTGTCAAGGAGAACTTGAATGGGCCACATAAGATAGCAGCATTGTCTCCATTAGGTTTTATCCTGGAAGGTCCCTCGGTCAAGCAACTTGCTCCTCTAGTTCATTTATTGCTTGTCTTGATGGACCATCCGGAGGAAGGTGTAAGAGGCAGGGCTGCATGGACACTTGGGCGGCTGTTTAAGCTTGTTGGTGCACATAGAATCGTGAGAAATGAGGTGGTGGTCCTGGATCAGATCATGAAGCTCTTGATAGAAAGGATCAAAGATGTCCCTGAAGTGTCCGTTGAAGTGCATGGAGCTCTATATTTTCTTGCAAGAGGTTATGGAGAAGATGCAAAGTCAAGGTCAAAATCAAACTCATGTGAGCTTTCACCTTTTGTTAAGCCTCTTATTGATGCTCTTCTTTGTGCTTCGGATCTGGCTAGGGAGACCCCTTTTTGCCTTCTTCCATCTCCTTATAAAGCTTTGAGTGAGATTGTGAGAGTTAGTGACACTGGGGACTTACAAGTTCGCCAGGCTGTTATAGGCTTGATGTCTCATATTATGAGGAGATTCAACATTGTGCTTAATGGTCATGGTGCAGTTTCATCTGTTCGGAGGAAGAACCAACTTGAGGTCTTGCTGTGTGGTCTAGTTGAAGTCTTGATCCACAAGCTTGGAAGTACACTCAAGGGGTCTGCTAAATGTGTGTTGATGTTGTTGTGCCCTCTCTTAACCCGTGAGAGTACAAGTGCACGAAATGGAGCAGCCCTTGCCATTGGTGCTCTTGCTCATGCCATTGGTGCTGATTTTGGACAACACATGCCTACGGTGCTACAATATTTCAGTGTGAAGCGACTCTCTCCACTTTATTTAGAAGTGATATGTGATATATGCCATGTCTTGGGAAAAGAGGGAAAAGAGGAAGAAGTGGTGCCATGCTTTTATCATATTATGGAAGTTTTGTATCAAGGTATGGGAGAATTGACACTTCAACCTCCAATTCTATCAAGCATTGGACAGATTGCTCTTGCTATTGGTGAAAAATTTGAGAAGTACCTGCCTCCAGTTATGGAAAAGCTTATAGTTATGGAAAAGGTTGCTCAACTCGATCAGGATCCTCTTGGGGATCATAGTAACAAGGTTAGAGAGGCGATATCTAAGGCCTACCATGGCATATTAGGGGGTATAACCGACCCAAAGTCTGGATTCAAGGTAGGAATGGCTCTACTTGACTTCACTGAAAAGGAGAGAAAGAGAAGGTAACAGATGCCTTGTTTTTTCTTGGTCGGTCACATAAGCACTGTTTATACTCGTTGACTGATTGATTTTTCTTTCTTTCTTTTAGGGACAGTGACAGAAGGTCCAGAAGGACTAGGACCATGACAGCCAGGGACACAAGGACCATGAAAGCGCTAGTTGATGCCTTGTCTCAGCTTTCTCCTAGAGTGGGGGTTTGGTCAGAGGCGTTGATTCGATCGATGCAGGAAGCAAATACTCCCTCCTTAAACAAATATAAGAGCGTTTAGATCACTACTTTAGTGATCTAAATGCTCTTATATTACTTTACAGAGGGAGTAATCATTGGGAGAGGAAGGACGGTGTGCTTTATTTTGATCCAGTCAACTAAAGTGTGTCGGTTAATGTTGGAAACTCTGTTTTATGTCGAACTAACGTGTGTGGGCTGTGGGTTTGTTGGAAACTGCATGTATCCTCTCTAATTAATTAGAGTTATTATTATGGTGTTGACATAGAGCCTTACGTCATATTGTCTCTATTACTCTATCATATTTAGGGACGTCTTTGGTTTGACTAAAGTGGGGACGTCTGTGGTTTGGTTTACTCTAGCAAAACTGTTTGTATGGAGGGTAAAGCGTATCAATGGTGAATCGATCATTCGCTATCCTTTTTTCTGGGATCTGCTCTTTTCAGTGCAAGGTTTGAGGGAAGGTAAGATTAGTGGGTCAATAACCTGCTTAGCTTTTCAAGTAAGGCAGTGAAGTTTCATATTTCTGTTGTGCTGCACCGGCCACCTATGGCTATGGCCGCGCCGGCCTCTGCGCGTCGTGCCTCCCCGGCCTCTATTGGCCACGCTGGCTTTTGCTATTTGCGCCGCCGCCCGCCACCATGGCGTGGCTGCAGTCCTGCTTCGGCCTGAAGAGGTCCCAGCGCTGCGTGTGCATCCTCCTGTTGGTGCTCGGGAGAGGTCCCGGCTAGACAAGGATGCTACGCTCCTCTCTCTTTTCTCTCTTGTGGCTGATGCTTCCAGTGTTGCGGCTACTACCAGTTCGTCCCCAGCAGATAGTGCTAGGGAGCAGGGACAGTGCACACAAGCTCCCCTCTC